AATAAAAATATTTTTCATTAGCTTTTTAACAGATGTTTGGTGGTTTTCTTTTAAATATAAGTAATTCAAATTGCATAAATAATAAACAGATACAGTTAATTTTAAATATGTTTTGTAATATATGAAATACAAATTATTAAATTTTCTTTCTACTCACCTCAGGGATACTTGTGGTTGATGCAGATGAATGAAATAAGATTCGAGAACTCTTTCTAGCCTTCTGTAAAGTGCCATAAAGTATATTAAATGTCATAACTAAAAATTCATCTTAATATTTTTTTTAGAATTTGGAATATTTTATGTTTCTAGTAACTGAAAATATACAATTTAAACACAGATAATTTAGGAAGGTAATACATGATAGGGTGATAAACTATGATAAGCCAGGTGATGAATTGTCAGATGTATTTATTAATTATATTTTCTAAAGATAATCCAATGAAGATGAGAAGTGAAAATTATTTTAAATGGTGCAATTGCTGTTGTTTCAATAAATATTTTCAAACATATCTAGTAATGGTTCTTATAAAAAAATTGAGACCAATATGAAACCAATATTTCTTTTAAAACAACAAACTGAATCTCCAAAGATGAAAAATCAGTAAATATTGTGTCTGGTATAAAACAATGTATGTTGAACAACTATAATTTTTAACTTTTTTTTTTTTTCAATTTTCAGAGCATGCCCCAACAAATAATCGAACTGAAAATTGTTTGAAAAAGAATATCAGTTTAGTCTCATATAACATTATTTTCTTTTTAACATCAGAAATTAAATCTGCAGGTAAATATGTCACTACATTATTTTATTTGATTATATACCATTTTAATTGAATGTTCCTACTAGCGAAGTTAATATTTTAAAATTTAAAAAAATGGCCATGTAAATTTTTCCAATTTTGTCATAGATATAAATCAATCAAATCATAGTATTGTTTAAATTAAATTTTAATACTGGTTACATAGACTCATTCTTGAAGGGGTGTTGTAGCTAGCATGTGTAATTAGCTTACAAATGAAACTATCACAATTTCTTTTCATTGACATAATTCATTCACACCAATGTAATCTAATATTACCAATAAGTGAATTGCCTGTCAAAGTCACTAATAAAGTAATGACATGTCAAGCATGAGGAAGAATAACTACCCAGAGTTATTTCTTCTGTTTTATTTTAGGTTAAAGAAAGTTATATAAGGTCACACATCTACAACCATTTAAGACTCCTCATGATACAGTCAGACTTATAATGGTTATACTTAATATTTGTCGGTTGTTATGTCCCTGTAATTTAAAAATAAAATTGTTTCTCGTGAAACATGTATGTTTTCATAGACTGTTGGGATGAATAAGAGAGAATGTAAAATTGAGTTAGAAACATTACAAAGTGCTTGTGTAATGAATCCGAATATTGTTGATTGGAATTTGTAGTCTTTGTATGGGTGACATTTTCATGGAATCAAGAATTTGAGAGGCATAAGACCAGACTGTTTTAAGGAAATATGAGTTGTTAGTAGTTTTTGTTTCAATTTCGTCATCTGGGTGTTAATTTCTCTAATCTTTAATTTAAGGTCATATATTTTCTCTTAACGAGTTGGCTCCAAGTCAGCCTTCAGTCAAATATTAATTCATACATGAGAGACAAGTTTCACATCTTAATTTCAATGAGATGTGTAATTTGTCACCATAATTTGCCTGTGTTTTCCACTATTTGATGGTAGTGTCATCAGCATATGTTAGTACCGTTTGTTGTGTCTTGCAAACATTTACTGTAGAGTAGTGCTGAGAGTATAGACCCTTGACTTACTGTTCCAAGTACTGGTTGAAACAATGAAAATTCTTCACTCTGTCGGATGGAAGAAAATCTGTTGGAATCTTAAACAATAAGGAAGAATGTGTGTATACAGTATTGTCTCAGGTTTAAAGAACTGCTGGTGCCAGAATGGATCAAATGCTTCCAGACATCCAGAAATAGATGTGTTGCATTCATATAACTTTTACTTTAGAGGTGAAGAAATGAAGGCTGGCACTTGGATGTCCTAATTGATGTGGTGATGATTGAGATTTGCGTAAAAGAGCGATAGGGAAAAATTGCGGACTCAAACCTAAAATACCTAAAATGGTATACTGGCTGTACACAAGGACAGTTTGACCTTTCATACTTTAGTTAGCTTTGCTATGGTGGCATAAAACAAGACTTATCCTTATTAGGAAAGATCCAAAGACTGGCATGTATGATGATAACGGGTGCGATGGGCTCTACACCGACGGCTGCTATGGAGGCAATGTTGAACATGCCACCGCTGCAGCTAGAGCCTATGGCTCAGGAGCAGGCATCTATTGTAAAAATAACAAAGAAAGAGATTCTATACCTCTTGGCAGATATGCCTCAGTGTTTCAATCTGAGATACTAGCAATTTGCCATTGTGCTCAAAACCTACTACGAAGCAATGTGACTGGGAAAAATATTACAATCTATACCAACAGTCAGGCAGCAATAGGTGCTCTAAACAATTATTATGTGTATTTAAAGGTTGTTAAAGGATGCAACACAGCACTTAACAAACTGACTGAGCACAATAGAGTAGCAGTGGAGTGGGTGCCTGGTAACTTGGGCATACTAGGCAATGAAGAGGCAGATAAACAGATTAGGCTCAGATACCATTCCCATAACTCCTGAGCCTGTTTGTGGAATCAGCCTTAGTACTGCCAAAAGTAGGATTAGAGAGATTTATGGGAACATATTAAAAAAATACTGGACCGACAAGAAACAGCGACATTCGAAGCTGTTCCTTAAAGGTCCATGTGAAAAAAGAACCAAACTGCTGAGTATGGGCAGAGCAGCTCTTAAAAAGCTTACAGCGATCTACACAGGCCACTGTAAGTTAAATTATATGAAACAGCCTTTCACATTGTGTCGATGTGATAGATTTGCAAGGCTGAGACTGCAGCTATTTGGGGAGGAACGAATAAATCTCCCCAGTAGATATGAGATGGTCAATACAACCAGCCTACTAAGATACGCGGAAGCGGCAAAAATAGCGTTTTGATAATAAACGAATAACTTAATTGGCGCACAATAGATCCTTCAGGGGTCAATGTGCCCTGAGCCAACAAAAAAATAAAATAAATGAGTAAACCAATAGTATATCATAATTTTGGGATTTCTCTTGGACTTGTAATGGAAACCTTTTCTGGTGAGCTGATTCATAGTTTAGATTAGTGCTAAAAAGACTGTCAACATTGCAGCATCATTTTTAATATTAGGTTCAGCATTATTTGATCTACCAGAAATGAAGCTTGCAAAATATTCGACTTAAGGTAACATTTTAAAACCACTTCAACTTTAAAAAAAAATTTGATAAATTTTGAAATAATTAAAACTAAATTATGATTTTTTTTTCAGAGTTTCTTTGTCTTTTAATTGTAAATACCTCTAGAAAAAGTAACATATTCTGGTTAAAATAAAAACGATATAGTAGCATCAGGACTCACGTTTATTCAATAATAATCTTTAACCTGTTAACATATGGCTTTTTATAAACATTACACCAAGTTTAGATGAATTTATTGGATCATTAACTTCATTCATAATAAAACCAGAACCAATTAAATATAAAAATGCATGGTCCTTTCCTTTATAACCTTGCTTGTTGATTATTTCTGTAATGTACGTAACCTTTTCTTATCAGTAGCAAATTCAGAATTTAATTTTAGAAGGCCCATTTTTTCCTTTTTTTTTTATTATTTTAAAGGAAAAAGAAGAAATAAATAAACTATATGAAATGATGTTTGATTCATTATATTTTTTTGTGGATATATTTAACAGTAAAAAGGAGATATTATAATTGTTTTCTTTAGCTCAGATCACTCACAGAAACAGATACAGACCAATGATAATTTTTTTTGAGAAGGAAGTCGTTCTTTCCTCCCCTCCCCCACAAGAACTGAGCCTTTTCAGGATTTTTCAGAAGAAATTTTACATGTTTTGGACAAATTTTCATAATTATAAAAATTCATCTTTTCAATAGGCTTATTGAAACCAGTAACACATGTAATACACGTTAGACCAATAGTTCTTAATAATTACTCTAGGTTACGCTTCCGAAATTCAGAAGACCATTGATCTCCATAAGAAATTTCAAATTATTGTCTTTTCCATATTGGTAAACTATCTTTTTCCGATCATTCATTGAAAGTCCATAATATATTACGCTTACAGTCAGTAAATAATCTTTTATAAACTTCTTCTTCAAAAAACACAATGAATTGAGGATTGGTTTCACAAAAGACATATTTGGAAAATATATTAATAAGACAATATAGAACTGTGATCCAGGGTACAATGATATCACATTGTTTAAGCTTATTTTTTTAGCGAAATCCTAACATAATGTTGCTAAGAGCTTACAAAGCTCAAATTCAAAGAAAGTTAAACAGATCGACTATTAATTTTGAGTAAATTTATGTACCTTTTTTATGATGAGATGGCCATCCCTGCTACAAGATTGTCACAAATCCGAAAGTAAAAAAATATTAAAAATGTCTTATAATTTAAAAAAATATATTTCAAATATTAATTAAACAAAGAAATTTATTTGTTTAGAGAGATTTGTTATTTCCATTTCAGCCAGTATACAATTTAATTCCTTGTTTAATGAATGCGTTCTAACACATTAATTTAATTTCAACCTTGTTATTCAGCAATCAAATGAGAGATTAAAACATAATAAGAATAAACTCAATAATAAGTTTCTAAATAATTTGATTATCTCTGGACTTTTTGGACTAAAAGTCACACTGACTGCTCTAGTAATTTCTAAGGGCTAAGACTTAGCAAGCTCATCATACTACAGACCATTGATCACAGTTACAATATACAGTTTCATTATTTATATCTATTATTTGTTAAATAGACAAGTTTTATTTTTATTTTATAAAATTTACTTCCACCATAAATTTTAGAATGTTATCACAACAATCTTTGGCAAGGTGGAGTGAAGGTGCTTAGGGAAATGTTGGAAATAGTTTGTAGCCCTAGATATAAACAATAAAACAAAGTTTTTATTTCAAGACTAAACATATAAGATTTGAACAAAGGAATATATCACACAAGTATCTGGGATCCATTTAAAGCAATATGTTCTGAATAAAAAGTTCCTCCAATTCAATAAATAACATTTTAATTTCATAAATTACTTTGATATAACTGATTAGTAATCAACATAATATCTAGTGTTTAATTTTTAGAACAGCTTCTTCTTCCTTTAAACATAAAATCAGAAAATTACACTAATTGATACACAATAATGATCAATTCAAATAGAGGCAATAGGGAGCTCTAACAATTACATCAAATAAATGTGTAAGTAATTTTCATAAATTACAATTATTCCTTATTTTAGCACAAGATAAATATTTAAAATCATAATACTTCTGATCAACTGACTCAAAAAAACATTTTAAAAACGATTCTTTGGGCTTGGATGTAACAAATGGATGTAATGAGTCAATTATTAACTAAAACTATATTAAAAAAACAACAAAAATATATACAAGTATAAATGGTAACACAAAATAGAAATAGATTTTTCATTTTCTTTTACATTTTTATCTAAAGATATAAATTTGTAATCAGTCAGAATCTTCTGAGAAAATTTGAGATATATTCATTATGACTGCAGCCCCGTCTTCAGCAGGTTCCTGAAATTGAAAAGAATATTCATAATATCAGGTTATTTGCAACAACTAAACTTGAGCAGTGTCCCACAGTGGGACGAGTAAGAGAAAAACTCACGACTTTGGCTAAAAACAATTTTTTTTATAAATCCAAAAAAAATTGATAAACTGTTTTATCGATACCTTTTGGAATTCAAGAGAATACTTTCAGTTGACAGAATATATATTTTCACTTTTTTTATTCAATAGTTCAATTGAAAATTTTGTGAAATTTCGTGTGATTTATAGGTTTTATAAAATTGCTTGGTTTGATCTGTGGCGATTGATAATTTTTTCTCAATAGGGCATAAAAATAATAAAAGTTTCAAAACTTAACCAACTTTTTACTGTCATTCTACTTAACTAGAAAAAATATAATAGCGTATAAAACTTGTTTTACTTCAAATCTTTTTCTTAGCAAAAATAGATGTTTTTAAATCAAATTTTTACCAAGACTGCAATTTAAAAAAAGCTGCCATATAATCCGGAAAATTCATTAATTTTTTTACTATTTAGGAGTAATTTTAAAGAGAACTTTGTACAAATTTTAACCACTATGACCCGCCTAAAGTCAGTTAAAAAATATTGAAAATTATTTTGCTGAATGAATGTCTGAGCAATATCTAGGTATATACTCATCTTTCCTATAATCTGGATATTCTCTCAAATTTAGTTTTAACAATTGTATTGAACATAAAGAAAATAAGATTCTGTAATAATCTGTTTAGAAAATATATACCTCACACCAAAATAAGAAAAAATATTTACATTAAACATTAAAACTTCATTTTCATTATTTTAAAATTTTTATTTTGTCTACTTAGATAAGAAATAAACATTTAAATTATTATTAACTGTATACAACCATAAATTATTTTTGATCTAATCAATAAATAAACCAACTCAACACCATTAAATTAACTAAAGTTAAAGATTAAATAATAAGTGGGATAAATCAATACCCTTATAAGACGGCCTGAACAAAAAAGAACAAACTTCTCTTTATTTGTTCCACCAATATTACTGTCTGTTAGTAGTAAGATATATTTTCAGTCTGAAACCCTTATTCTTTGTAAATATCATAATAATTTCGGAAGGGTAAATTGAATCTGATTGGTTGAACCTTGATTTGTACCAATTATTCTTAATTAATATAATCATTAAAATTAATAGAAAAAATATGTATTTTTTTCACTGAATAATGTGAAAAAGTATCATAAATATCATTATCAATGGTGTTTAAAATTGTATTGTAATAAAAATAAAATGTTTATTATTACATAATAACTATTGTAAAATGAATATTTATAATTGATAAATGATACATTTGTGCAGTACATTTTTTTAGTTATTGCATATAAATCTCTCTATTATATAAAAAAGTTTTCTGTAACTTTTTTTGTCCACCCCCCAGGAATTTATTTATTATACAATACAATATATAAACACATAAAAATATATATACAAACAAGTTTTAATTTCCTTTTATTGCCCGAAGGCATTTTAAGGTAAAAGGGCTCTGCACGCTGTAGGCGTACTTTGCATCTATGGCTTGAGGCCTTTTATTATACCACTGGGCGTGGAGGAACAGCCCTACATTTATTTCTGTGACTGATATTTTATTTTACATATATAAAGCGGAACAGGCCGTAATGAAGACATCAGAGTGAAAATCTCTATTTAGCATTAGATCAGGAGTTTACAGGAGCTCAGCTTTTACGACAGTACTCTATGCTCAATAGTAATATAACCATTAGGATTTAATCCATATTAAAGTCCACAATATACATATATGGGGCCATACAGTAGGACGAAAGACAGGCGTTTCCGTCAAGCACATCCTAACTAGATTTACTAATTTTTTTGGAATCCCCTGATAAAATATTATACAGCTTCTGGCGGTCAATAGAATCGTAAGCATTTTTTAAATCGATATACAGCTGATGAAAAATGCTGCTGTACTCTAATTTTTTCTCAAATATTTGTCGTAAAGAAAATATTTGATAAATTGTTGAACGGTTCTGTCTAAATCCGCATTGATAGTTTCCGATAATTTCCTCCACGTATTCCGTGATTCAATCAGTAAGAACTAATGTAAATATTTTATAATATACTGGAAGGAGTGAGATTCCTCTATAGTTATTAAATCCTTTTTTTTTTTTTTCTTATGCCAGTCGTTGGTCATTTGGCCATCCGACATCTTGCTGCCCAGTATAATTTAGACTTTCTGATATGTATATTTGAAAATATTTTTTCTCTTATGTCCCTCAAAGCAGGACATGCGTCTGGATGGTCTGCATCCATTGTTCATAGATGACACAATCTACAGGTAGGATCCTCAGCGACGCCTATCTTGTAGAGATGACTCTGCAGATAGTCGTGACCAATAGCCAGGCGGAAGCAGGCAACTGCATCTCTTCTCGGCAGCTCAGCTGGAATCGGATTATCCTTCAACCACTCGTAACGCTTCCCTTCAGCTTTGCCGAAATGTACTTTTCTTATTTCTTCCTTCACTACCATCTTCACCATTCGCCGTATTGAGCCGTAAGGTTTTGGATGTATCGGCTGAGGCAAATCTGTTCCTCGCTTGGCAAGAATATCAGCCTCAACGTTACCCGGAATCCCACAATGGCTGGGGATCCACTGTAGGACCACATTGGTGCCTCGGTGTGTCAGGTTAGAGAGGAGGGATTTACATTCCAATATAGCACTCGATAAACATTCATTCGTGCTTGTGACAGCAAGGATAGCTGCTTGGGAGTCGATGAAGAGAACAGCGCTCTGATCCCGCCTTCTAGACAATGTTCTTAAGGCTATGAGGATCGCCGCTATCTCACCGTCGAAATTTGTTCCATCTTTTCCCACCGCAGCGCTGATTTGGAATTCCCTTGAGTAAACCCCTGCTCCAGCATTTTTAACGGCTGATTCAGCTGATCCGTCAGTATAGATATGGAACCAATCTTGAGGAGGGTACTTTTGAGCTATGGTTTCTAATGCTAATGCTTTTAGCTCGTATTCAGGTGTTTTTTTCTTGTCCACTTTATGAAGGAGTTGCAGTTCTGCATTGAATGCGTGATTATGAATTGGTAACTGTGGATGTATAAATGGTTCCCTTTCTTCGCAGTCAAGCCCTCTTTCTTCAAGTAGTGCCATTGCCTTCAGCATGAAGGATTTTTGTGTCTTGAGCCGTTGAGAGGGGATTTTGTATTTTTTCCAAAACTCTTGGTCTATTCTTTTCATACGCTCGTGAAGGCACATTGCAGCTCACTCACGCCGTTTCGATAGAGGTTCTACTGTGGTCTGCAGTTCCATAGCTACAACAGGGGTTAAGCGCGGTGAACCCAAAATCAAACGCAGAGCTTTGTTCTGCTGGTCGTCTAATCTTTTCAGGGATGCATCAGCCGCAGTACAGATGACTTCAGAATCGTATTCCAGTACTGGGTGTACATAGGTTTTATATGCAAGACCCATCACATCCTGGGTGGCCCCCATGTCTTTCCTCCAAGGTGTTTCAGAAGTTTTAGCCTGTTTTCCCCCTTTTCCACCATCTCTTCAATTTGTCTGTTCCAGATCATTTTTGTATCTAACCTAACTCCCAGATATTTGCCTGCATAGGTTCTTGGTAAGGGAACATTATTGTAGATGATTTCCAGCTCGCACCCTTTTGTTGATAAGGTGAACAGTTGGAATTCAGTTTTCCAACTGATTTACTTCCAGTTCATTACACTTGGCCCAGGTAAAAAGTCTTGCCATTGTCTCATTAATTGCTGCTTCGAGTGCTGTTATGTTGCTACTAGTCGCATATACTAGTAGATCATCAGTGAACAGTAGAACAGATATTCCGGGTATTCCCTCGAGTACAGCCATTAAGTCATCAATCATTATATTAAAGAGTGTGGGGCTCAAAACAGATCCTTGTGGAACTCCTTGACTAAAAGTTCTGAAGCCTGAACACCAGCCATTGAATCTTACTCTGAGAAATCTCTGGGCCAAGAAGGAACGTATGCCTCGGTACATTTTTCCACTGATGTTCATTTTGAGGAGTTTATTCGGAAGTACTTTCCGGCAGACTCTGTCAAAAGCAGCTTTAAAATCAACATATACTGCAAGAGTATGTTGTTTGCGTTGGAATCCGTCTTTTACATCCTCATTAAAACGAGCCACCTGCTCAGTTGTACATCGGTGCTTCCGGAAACCTGCTTGCTTTGATGACATCTTGTTTTCTCTATCAAGATATATCTGCAACCGGGCTAGGACCATTCTCTCGTAGAGCTTAGAAAAAACACTTGTGAGCGATATAGGTCGGTAGTTAGATGGGCATGAATAACATTTACCTTTCTTGAGAATTGGGACCTCAGCCTTCCTCCAAGCACTAGGATATTTCGACCTCCACACAGCATTAAGAAAATCTAGCACAATGAGCTTGGCTTAATGGCTTAATAGTTATTAAATCCATCCTCGAGCCATTTTTATGAATTGGAATAAGAATAGATTCTTTCCATTCATCAGGCAATTTCTCATTCTTCAAGATCTTTTTAACTAATCAATATATTTTAATAAATCCAGCTTCTCTGCATGCTTTAATTAGTTGACTAAGAATATTATCGATTCTCGCTGCTTTATAAGATTTAAGTTGTCCGATAACTACTTCAATTTTCTGTTTACTAGGTTCTTCTATTAACGGTTCAGCACTGTGGTACTCACAAGGAAGACACAGATCATTATTTCCCGTATTTAAAATATTGTCAAAATGTTTCTTAAACTTATTTAATATGTCTACCGGATCGATCAGAAAATTGTCACATTTATCTCAAATTCCAGACGTGAGGGGCCCCTAAAAATTTACATGATCTGTTTATACCTTTGTACATATTTATCTTACTTTCCACTCTATTAGCTTCTATTTCAATTATTTTATTTTTAAGATACTCTCTTTTTTAATTTTTAAGCAATTTAGTCATTTGATTCTTTAACGTTCGAAGGTA